GACCCCAAGCAGCAGCCCTGGCGTGCCAGGCTGACCGGCACCCCCTCCCCCAACGCAAACACTCGGCCCCTGGCTCTGAGGGAAGGGGGCATTTTTCAGAGGTGACATCAGCTCTTAAAGTTTTATGTTTCTTGCCAACCTCAGCCCTCAGCCCGGAGAGCAGAGTCCCCAGGCCTGGTGAGGCAGGCAGCAGCATCCCTGCAAACAGCACACCACTGGCCCTGGACACCCACAGCAGTCCACCCACAGAAGAGACGGCCATCGGGGTGGCTGTGCAGTGGTCCGCTCACCCTGAGGACACAGCCCAGCCTGGTCACTGCAGGGCAGATGCAAGAGAAAAGATACCAAGCTGCCAGGTCCCCAGACACACCTCAGGGCCTTTGCACATGCCCTCGCTGCTCCATGCCATCTCACAGATGCCTCCACACTCAAGTATCTTGTCCAAAGTCCCCTCCCTGTGAAGGCAGCCCTACCTCCTTGAGCCCCTACAGGGTCTCTGTCCATCTTTCCATCAGAGCCCTGATCACTAGCATAGTGTTTAAAATCACCTTGCTTCCCCTCTCCCTCGTGCCTCCCTCCCCCACCAGACTTCAAGCCCCTGGAGGGCTCAGACCAAGTCCCCTTTCACTCTGGCAGGAAGAAATTCATCAACCACGAAGGGGTAAGACCCGCCCAGTTAAGGGGACACAGTGAGGGCTTAGCTAAAAGCAGGGAGGCTGGAGGCTGAGTGAGATGAAGGGGGCTGCAAGGGGGAGAAGGGAGGCGAGGAGGGAGTGGGAGGGGGTGCACTGCAGTGAAGGAAGCACAGTGGGGGACCTGAGAAGATGGGGCGGGGCATTGTGGGGAGCAGGAGGTGCCGAGCCTCCAGGGAGGGGGTGTTTCAGCAGGCAGTCTTGGTTGAATGAGTGAGTAAAGGAATGAATGAGGGGTCTAAAGTAGGCCAGCCACCCCCACCTCGAGCTTCGCATGCTAAGGTGTGCTGAAGGTGGCACATCAGGCCCAGAGGGGACCAAGGAACTGGGTCGCTGCCCCTCTACCCTGGGAGGGGGCTGACTGGATCCCCAGGCCCAGGGCCAAGCTGCCCGGCTGCTGACTCAGGCTCCGCTGGCCAGCTCAGCATTCCTGCCCTCCCCACTGAATTGGGGCTATTGAAGCTCTTTGTAGGGGGGTTAGGCCACTGGTCACGCCCCCAACCAGAGCCTTCGCTGTGCTGAGGGCTCTGCTCTCAGGGGGCAATGCAGGCCCCCAGGGGTGAGTCTGAGAGTGCTCTGACCACCAGCTGCTGCTCTGGGGGTGTCTGGGACCGAGGACAATCCTGGGTAAGCTGGTGAGGCTGGCATCAGAGAGGGGAGCCGAGTGGAAGGGAATCGCCCTGACCCTTAGGACCGAAGACCCTGGGATGGCAACCCTGCCCATGACCCCCAGCCTGGAGAGGGGTCTCTCTCTCTGCACAGGCCACAGTGTGCAGGTGAAGGTGTCGCAGGGGCTCTGTGAGTTGCCATGCCTCCTCATCAGACTGGAGCTTCCCTCAGGCAGAGTGGTTTCCCCGTTAGACTGGGGCCTTCGCAGGGTATAGGCTGGGTCTCCCCCATCAGACAGGGACCAGGGATGGGTTAAAGCTTTGCCCATCAGACTCGGCCCTCCCAAAGCCCAGTCCTTGTCCTCCTCAGTGATTAACTGGGGCATCGTATCTGGTGCCCAGCCTCAACCACCCTGTGCTGATGGGTCTCAGCAGAGCCACGGACCAGCTGCCCCCGGAGAGCCAACGCTTCTCTAGACAAAGCGCCCCCACCTCATCCTGCTGCCTCCCCCTCCTGCCCTTGCCCCCACGCAGGGATCTGGTCCCCCCAGCCCTGGCTGCACGCACCTACACCTGTCAGGTGTCCTTTTTCAGGTATGGGGGAGGGCCGGGCGCCATGAAGCCAGTGCGGGCTGTCACTCTCTGGTGGGTGCTGCTGCTGGTGTCCGGGCTGGGGGCCACCGGGAAGGGATCCCCAGAAGAGGCCTCCTTCTACTATGGAACCTTCCCGCTTGGTATGTCCAGCCCTCTGTTGGTCTGTCCGTCTGTCCATCTGCCTGTCTGCTGGCCCACCTTGGCTGGCTTGCCAAGTAGTTTGGTGTTTAAGCTTCCTTACAGCTAGGATGGGAAAAATGACTCCATGACGTTGTTCTGAAATAAAAGACACTCCTAACAGATTTTTTTAAATTACTACATAGATAGTAAATGCTCATCAAAGCTAAAATAGTGCAGATAAGTGCTTTTAATGTGTTATGTCTTCTCCCACCCCTGCCCCATATACTCCCACTCCTAGGGAGGCGGGGCAGGCTGCTGGGCAGTGGGCCTGCCCAGTGGCCCGGGGGACACCGCCCAGGGTCCCAGTACTGGGTGGAGCGTGGGAGGGGGCTCAGGGCCCAGCGTGGGCTCCATACTTGCAGGCTTCTCCTGGGGCGTGGGCAGTTCCGCCTTCCAGACCGAGGGTGCCTGGGACCAGGATGGGAAAGGCCCCAGCATCTGGGACGCCTTCACGCACAGCGGGAAGGGAAACGTGCTTGGGGACGAGACAGCAGATGTGGCCTGTAATGGCTACTACAAGGTCCAGGTGAGTGAGGGATGCGCATGTGTGCGCATCCCCTAGTGAGAGTTGGGCAGTGACATGTTGAAGAAGCCCAGGGGACAGTGTCAACCAAGCGCTCTGTTAAACACCCCCTGCCCCAGTGCAACCCCGAGGGGAGGGGCCGTGGTGATGGGGCTTCAGGGCGGGGGTGGGGGTGCCAGGGTGTGGGAAGGCGGGTGTGGGAGGAAGGGAAGCAGGGCCCCCGGAACCTTTCCTTAGTCAAGTGATGGGTAGGTGGATCCTGCATTTTCCTCGACTCTTGGCATATCCCTAGGAGGAAGCGGGGGGCAGGTAGTGTCTACTGCGTAGATGAGGAGTAAGGACAGGAGGAAGCCTGGGCTGGCGCGGGTGACCTGCCCCGTCCCACCCCTGTCTGTACAGGAGGACGTCGCTCTGCTGAGGGAGCTGCACGTGAGCCACTACCGGTTCTCCCTGTCCTGGCCCCGGCTCCTGCCCACGGGTGTCCGAGGTGAGCTGGGGCCACCCCCCTCCAGCCCGGGCCTGGCCCCTTTTGGCTGTGTTGGCTTTGCAGGGACACCGCCGTCCGGGGCGGGGAGAGCATCCCCCCCCCCGCGGTTTCCCGGGCAACGGCTCTCATGCGTTCCGCACGTAGTGGGGCCCCCTGGAGTAACTGTCACACCATCTGAGATCTGATGGTGCTGAGGGTGCCTTCAGGCCTGTGAAAAATCCCCAGGGTCCAGAAATCCTGAGCTTCAGAAGGTCAGAGCCAAGGTCCTTTTTTGTCAATTCCCCTTTTATTTCACCTTCAGCTGACCAGGTGAACAAGAAGGGAATCCAATTCTACAGCGACTTCATCGACGCCCTTCTGAAGAGCAACATTACTCCCATTGTGACTTTGCACCACTGGGATCTCCCGCAGGTGAGGCCGTGCCGGCTCAGAGGCCCCAGGAGAGCTCAGTTCAGCAGTGGGGAGCTTGATCGGGGCCCCTGGGGTGGCCGAGGTTGGGGCAAAGGCTGGGGTCTGGGCTCTGCCTCAGGATGGGAAGGTAGGAGGGCGTGGAGAAGAAATCTCTCAACTCATCCACGGCAGGAAGTTCACACAGGTTTAACTGATGTTTGTAATAAATGGTAAGTGCAGATTTCAATGGTTTTCAAAACATTTGGCCTAGAAACAACAAATCAAACTATAAAGAAAGAAGCATCTTTTGACTAAGAGTTGATGGAATAATTAACAAGTTGTTTAGCCTTTTTTCCCCCAGTTTGTTTGAGCTAGCATGGGACACGCTCATATATGAGCTCCCTTCCAAGCAATTTCCATAAAGTCGCAACATGCTTAAGAACATCACTGTTAGACATCACTATTCGAGCAAATTTTTTTTTCCAAGCAATTCTTTCCTTCAACAAGGCTACATGGAGATCATGACCCAGCCAGCCAAGGGGCCATTTATGTAACTCTCTGTGACACAGGGCGGTGGGAGGTCAGAGGATGAGATACTGGCTTCAGGGAGGTATTGGGCAGAAGATGGAGTCCGATCAGGGCTTTGGAGGGTTGGGGCATGAGGTTGGGGGAAGGGGTGCTCTGGCTTGAGAGAGCCTGGCAAGGAGGCAGGGACGGGCTGGGCAGTGATTCGGTTAGTTTGGGAAGCAGGCTGGCACGGGAAGGATAGCGGTTGGAGAGATAGTTACGAGGGTAGACAGGCATAGAAGGAGATTCTCCACAGGCCACGAAGCTGGGGCTGGGGGCGTGGAGCAGGCTTCAGGGAGATGATCTGAACACCACCTTCCAGCTTCTTCCCTGGTGAATCGCCCTCACTGACCTGCCCCTTTGCCTCCCCTCAAACCCAGCAGGGAGGGCTCAGCAGGTAACCTCAATGGACCAAAGAATCTTGGGAAAACCCCTCCCTGGTAAGCAGATGGGAGAGAGCCCTGCGCTGAAGGAAGCAGAACCCACTCTCACGACAGGCTGCTGGGAGGTCCTGACCCCTGCGCGACCCTCACAATCCTAATCAGAGTTTCCACGCCCAGTGTCATATGTGATTTCTTCCGAACTTATATATTCAAGATTCTTTTCCCATGTTCAGACCTCTTTCCCCTGGAAACTTTTCTTAAATATTCACTCCATCAAATTCCTTTTAAGCATGAGAATTTCAGGCTTCCTCTGCTCCCTCCCTCTTGTTTGTATAAGGCACATCTCCGCAGTTACGTTGTCTCACGGTTCATCGCCGCCACCATCGAGTCTTAATGCCCAAGACCCCGCATCTTTGCCCCTCTTTCCCCTAAACATCCTCTGCAGCTGTAATCCCCCATGCTTCTCCCCTAAACTTGGCCAGTCAGCTCCCAAAGTCTTTTCTGGAGATGGGCCCTCAGGGCACCTGCTTCTCTCTCTCCTCCTGCTTGCAGCTGCTCCAGGTCAGGTACGGTGGGTGGCAGAACGTGAGCATGGCCACCTACTTCAGTGACTACGCCAACCTGTGCTTTGAGGCCTTTGGGGACCGGGTGAAGCACTGGGTCACTTTCAGTGATCCTCGGGTAAGCAGGGCCCCCTCCAGGTGGGAAACCCACTTTCCGGCCAGGAGGCTACCTGGTCACTTCTCACGGGTCCTGTGGTCCCCCACTTGCCATCTCTGCAGACAGTGGCAGAGAAAGGCTACGAGACGGGCCACCACGCGCCAGGCCTGAAGCTCCGTGGCACTGGCCTCTACAAGGCGGCACACCACATCATTAAGGTGAGGTGGGCCCTTCCGGGAGTGAAGGCTGGGCTCCAGGTGGAGGGCGAGCCCCCGTGGCAGCTCAGCCTGAGCCTGAGCCTGAGCCCAGTCCTCCGCCACCTCACACCTCAGCACCTTCACAGCATCTTACAGCATCCCCTTCCCTTCCGTGAGGACTGATGGGGTGTGTCCTGTCGTCCAGGGGCTCTCCTGCACACTGTGGCCCGGGTGACACAGTGACTGCTCCCTAGAGCTTGCAATCTAGCCAAGGGGCTGGAGCACACGCATGTGGAAACCTGTCACCTCCAGGTCCAAATTGTCCTGTGAGGAATGGGGACTGGAGGAAGCGGGAGGGATGACAGTGAGCTCGGGGTTCCAATCTCCAAGGAGTGAGCGAAAGTGACGGGAGGTTGGTGAGAGACAGCAGCAGGGAGAGATTGGGAGCGCTTGTCTGATAGCATGGGCTTCAAAGGACCTGCGGGTTTTGAAGGAAGGAGAAATCGTTTGAAAGTACGACAAAGAGCAAGGCAGACGCTGCCCTGAGGTATGTGGGATGTGCGGGGAAAAGTGGCATCTGGTGGAAAGAGCTGCAGTGGAGGTGGTCTGTAGGGGCAGCCAGGCTCAGTGAGGGCAGGAGAGTGAGGACGACATGGAGAGAAGATGCCAAAGCTGAGCTCCAAGCCCACCAGAAAGGCTGGAGAAGCGGGTGAGGGAATTGGGTCAGCCTCCAGGACACACGTAAGGGTCCGGGTGATGACGACTAGGGAACAGGGAGGCGAGGCATGATCGGCTGGCCCCCCTGGACTCTCAACAGAAGGTGAACGATCTGATCAAGCGGGCAGGCAGGGGGCCACCGGGGACATACCAGACCTTCAAATTCATGTCAGCAAGAGAACGTTCTCATTTCTTGACTGTTTGGCTTGGGATTTCGTAAACCGTGGACGTCAGTGGGTGACTGGGCAAGAATATGGAGAGAAGACAGTCCGTTTCTCAAGACTGTTCCAGGTGCTCGGTCTTTTCCTAACTTCGCAAGCACCTATGGTGAGTGCACTACCTGGCTGCCACCGAGGACAACCAGGGACAAAACAAGACACGTTCGCAAAAACCTCAGAAACGATAAATAACACAAAGCCGTGGTGCATGTGTTTATGCCAGATTTAGACCATGCTTCCTCCACGGTACAAAGAAAAGGGAGGTCAGAGGAAGGGAGACTATGGATCAGGTTAATCAAGGCTGGATTCACGAAAAGGATAGGACTTAAACTGGGTCTCTATAGAGTTCGGAAGGAGAGACAGGTCAGCTCGGGTTGCACGGGGGGAGAGAAGTGGACGAGGCAGGCACCTCGCATGGCTCCTTCCTCTTCCAGGCCCACGCCCAAGCCTGGCACGCCTACAACAGCACATGGCGCAGCAGGCAGCAAGGTGAGCTCTGCCGCCGCGTGCGCTGGGGACGGGCGAGCGACCGGAGGAGCGAGGTCACTCCTGCCTGCCACCCCTTTTCCTTTCTCTTATCAGGTCTGGTGGGGATTTCATTAAACTGCGACTGGGGCGAACCTGTGGACATGAGCAACCCCAAGGACATAGAGGCTGCCGAGCGGTACCTACAGTTCTGCCTGGGCTGGTTTGCCAACCCCATTTATGCCTGGTGACTACCCCCAAGTCATGAAGGACCGTATCGGTGAGCCACGTCCAGATACCGCAGCAACAGTATGAGCGCAAACGAAATGACCAAAAGGCAAGGGGTTGGAAGAACACACTAGGCTGGTTTGGGCGAAGCAGTCAAGGAACAACCCAGCCCCCAAAGAACTGAGAACTGGTTATTCGAATTGGGAGGGCAGGGGATACCCAAACACATTCCTAGACCTGGAAACTGAGAATTTCAGAAACCAGGGGAGGGGAAAGAATTAGCATTTCCCTGGGCTGCTCTCTCTTGTATTCCATTGTCCTGTCTCCTCCTCGCCCTAACCCTCCACTCCACTCCATCCAACTGCAGTGAATTAGAAGTGAGAAGTCAAAGACGGTCATGGGTGAGGTCACTTCTATTGCTGGTTCTTTCCATCACCTGAGAAATACTTTCCAAGCTCTGGTTTCCACAGTGTCAGAGAAGAGAATAAAGACAGAGCTCACAAGGCTGTATTAATTTGGATGCTTTTAACTGCCACATAACAGAAAACTCCAAATAAAATGACTTGAAAAGTAGGGGATTTATCATCTCACTTGAAATCCAGGAAAGGGTGGTCCAGGGCTAGTTAATCCAGCCCTCAGGGATGTCTTTGAGAACCCAGATTTATTCCATCTTTCCACTCTACCACCTTTAGCTAGCCTATCAGCCACTCCCCGTGGCCACAAGATGGCTGCAGCTGCTCCAGGCATCACATTTTTACACATCAACACCCTGAGGCAGAAACAAGGGAATAGCACTGTACCCCGTTTTTAAGAAAAAGGAAAATATTCCCAGGAAACAGCTTCTACTCCCAGCTGACTTCCCTTTGTACTTCAAGGGATGGAATTGTCACATGCTCTAAGGTGCCCTAGGCCACCAGGACTAGGGCCTCAGAGGCTGGGGAGGGGCCAAGACTCCCATAAAGGATGTGGCCCTTTGGAAGAGGGTGAGGAAGAGGGCATGGAAGAAGACAGGCATGGGACTACTGGGTAGACCAGCAGTGTCTGGTCACAGGAATCCACACAAATAATTGTGTGACTTTGAGATATCAGCCCACAACCCCTTAACAAAAAGAGACAAGGATGACATTGAAATAGGTTATAATCTCGCACATCAAGGCCATTTTAGATTAGATTAGACTAAGACAGAATGTTTGAATCAACATTTCAAAAATTTCCGTTTCTCAAGCACAATTGATCAAACTTATCTGGGATAGGAGGCAGAAAGTTCTAATTCCAACTCTGCCGCTAACCGGTGAGTGATTCTGGGCAAAGTGCTTCACCTCTTTGAGCCTGTCTTATCACCTGAGAGGAAGGGATTAGACAAAATAATCTCTAAAAAATCTGTTGACAATAACCAGTTGTGTGACACATCTGTACATAAACAAAGACACACTCAAAACCTGGAGAATGATTTCCTCTTCAAAGCCTTCAAAATTCAAAATCTTGAGAATGTTCCTGTAGACACACCTCATCCTTCACAGGGTACATTTACTCTCGTGGGATCCCTATTGCAGGCACCACACCAGCATTGTACTAAAAAGCCAAACTGATTATTTATCACAGAACAGTTCTTGGGCTTAAAGCCAGTAATTCCAGACCCCACTGACTCCAACTCTGCAATAATTCAAGTGGGAACAGGGCTCAGTTTTCCCCCTGTACAATGTGGAAAGAAAGATCCTATAAGTAGTTTTGTTTTTTCTTTCCCCCCTTCAGGTTTATTGAGTATAATTGACAAATGAAACAGTTAATATTTTCTTTAGTAATGAAAACATTCTGCCTGAAAGCTCATTCACAAATTACTTCCAGGCATCTCAGAAGCATCCTTTCATTCACAATAGATGTACGAAGAGAGGTAATTCTAGACCAGCGCTCTCCAACAGAAACTTTTGGTGATAATGGAAGTGTTCTGTATCTGTGCTGTTCAGTGTGATAGCCCGTAGCCATTTGTGTCTATTTAAATCCAAATTAGACAGAATTAAAATACTCAATCCATCAGTGTGACTGAGTTAAAGATGCATTCACACTAACCATATTCCAATAGCCACATGTGGTGAGTGACTATTGTGTTAGACTCTCCAGTGACAATTCCTGTGGTTTTTCTCGAGTTTAAATGTAACTGAAAGTAATAACGTGCTAATTTTTTCAAGGGATTTAACAGTACAATCTTTTCACTCATTTAATCTAAACCAACAGTCTCTTTGGAAATGTTTTATGGCTGTATTTTAGATCAACTCATAAAATGGTACTTTATACATTTATTTTAAGCTTTTTTGCATAGATTATACAAGGATGTGTTTCAGATTTTTTAAAGCACAAAATGAGTGAACAGTCACGCTCCCCCCCCCACTGCTCCTGTCCTCCCCACAAGGAAGCCACTTCCAGAGGCGGCTTGTGCGTGTGTGTGTGTGTGTGCGCACACGTGCGTGCATGTACTTGGACATATATCCAAGATGCTCTGCATCCTTGTTTCACTTGAACATCTCTCTTGGCACTTTTCCATGCTGCTGTGTGAAGCACTGCCTCCTTCGCTCTAACGGCTGCAGTGTACTATGGATGGATACTCCATCATTTAAGTAATCAGCCTCTCCTGACAGACCTTATGTTCTCCATCTTTTGCTACTGACCCTTAACGAAGATCCTAGTATATATATCCATTTACATGAGAGGGTACAGTGTAGGATAAGCAGATTAAGAGCTGGTCAGTGAAAGGACATACATTTTTACAATTTTGAAAGATAGGACAACATTGCCCAACACAGAGGTTGTACCAGCTTAGGCTACAAGACGTGAACGTGACCGTGTCTCTCCCCAGTTCCCTTCCCGGACGCAAGCAAGATGACCACTTTTTGATATAAGGAACAACCTAGAAATCCAACTCTACACTTTTTTTTTCCCAGATAGCTACACAACTGTCCATACACAACTTACTGAGTAATCTCTGTACCAAAATGAAAAAAAAAAATAAAAAAGAAAGAAAGAGAAACCAAAATGAAAAAAATAAAATAAAAGAAATCAAAATGTAAAAAAGAATAAAAAGAAAAAGAGAAACCAAAATGGAAAAAGAAAAGAAGTAAGGAAAAAAGCCAAAATGGTTAAAAAAAATTTTTTTAAAAAGAGTTAGTAAATATTACTTTTAAGCAATATAAACTTAAAACTTTTTGGACAGTATTCATTGTTGTCAAAATTCTAGTTTGAAAGGCCAAGGCTGTACTTTCCACTTGGATGAATCCCAACGTCCAGGACGTGGGTCACAGCTTTTCTGTCAACGTACCAGTACCATCATGGTACACGACAGCAGAATGACTGCGAGAAGATCGAACTTGGTTAAACTCTGTTTTCCTCTCTCATTAGGAAGAAAGAGTGCGGAGCAAGGCCTGGAAACGCCGAGGTTACCGGTGTTCTCCCTCCAGGAAAAGAGCTACATTAAAGGCACATCTGACTTCCTGGGACTAGGTCATTTCACGACTCGGTACATCACAGAAAGGAACTACCCCTCCCGTCAGGGGCCCAGCTACCAGACCGATCGCGACTTAGTGGAGCTGGTTGACCCAAACTGGCCCGATCTGGGCTCTAAGTGGCTATTTTCAGTGCCGTGGGGATTTAGGAGGCTCCTCAACTTTGCTCAGGTGATTATCACATTAAGCTAAAGGACATTTTTGACCTGAATTGATGGTTTTACAGCTTAAGCTCAGATGCTTACATTTTAAATAAAAAACCCAGTTACTCATACCTCAGAAGCTACCAGAGATAAGTCTTAAAGAAAGACTAGTAATGCCTAGTAACTTCAGCTACAATTCTAATCTCATATTCGGTTATTTCGCTGCCCTTCTCACCTGTAATGGAATGTGTGGGAAAGAACAGACTTGAAGTTTATTTCTTCTAAAATGATACTTTGTCAAGAAATATAGCCTTTCATCCAAACTTGCCTCCTTCCTACATTCATCTCTAAATAAACAGGTTAACTGGCATCTACTAAATGTAAACACACCCAATGAGAACACAGCAGGCTTTCAGTATGTGTCCCCGTGATTCCTTTCAGACTCAGTACGGCAATCCTCCCATCTACGTGACAGAAAACGGAGCGTCTCAGAAATTACACTGCACCCAGTTATGTGATGAGTGGAGAATTCAGTACCTCAAAGGATACATAAATGAAATGCTAAAAGGTGAGACACAGACCAAGATGGTCTTCACGTATCTATTTAACTTGGACTGACTGAAACTCATAGATGAAGACATAAATGAAAAATTACCTTCACAATATTATTTTTCCAAGTAAGTAAAATATCTTAAAAATGGAATTCAATGTCTTTACAGCTATCAAAGACGGTGCTAACATAAAAGGGTATACTTCCTGGTCTCTGTTGGACAAGTTTGAATGGGAGAGAGGATACTCGGACAGATACGGATTCTACTATGTGGATTTCAACAAAAGAAATAAGCCACGCTATCCAAAGGCTTCGGTTGAATATTACAAGAAGTTGATCGCTGCCAATGGCTTTCCCAATCCGAGAGAGGTAGGAATGGTTATTGATGTTACTCATCCTGGATTTTAGAAGAGCCAGGCAGCTGGGGTGTGCCAAGTTTGGCAAGCACCCCACGGGGGTGTGTGGGAGCAGAGGCCCTTTGACTCTCCCCCAGCTCTCACCACCTCTCTGCTTATTGCTTAGAGTGGGGTACAGACACCTTAAAATGCAATTCTAGCACGCAGAGCACGAAGGGCAGTCTAGGGGTAGTTAAATGTTATCCTAAATGTGGTGTCTTAATGCAAACAAATGCTCCCTATCCTCCAACATACAGGAAAAGTAAATCAAATGTACAACATAATTTTCACTTCCTTCCCCACCAAATGGCACAGCCATACAGATGCACTGGTTCCAAAATGAGATTAAAAATAAACCTCCCATTTTTAATAACCTACAGGTTTTTTCTCCCAGCTGTCTATTCTCTATTTTCTGTTGTTGCACCTAACAGCAGGTGCCTTGTATTAGGCAGGGACTATAAGTTGTAATTTAGAGTGTCTTTAAAAAAAAATTTTAAAAAACCCTCGCTTGTTTATCAGCATATTTTCGGGGTGAGCCTAGTGGGACTGTAAGTAGCAGTGACTGATAGCTGTCAGGCATTGAGTAGTTCTGCATGACTAGGAAATCACTAGGTTACAAGCTCAAGAATAAAGAGTGCTCTTGGGCTCCCTCACAATGATGCACACAGGTGTTCAATAAATAGTAACTCATTTAAACTACAAGTAGATTAAAAAATGTGTCTTACCCCACATTCTTCCCAAAAAGATTTTAAACAGTTGAAACACTAGTCTAGGACAACTTTACTTATCAAGTGGGTTTTTAATTAGGTGGAAAGTTGGTACCTCAAAGCCTTGGAAATCTGCTCTATCAACAACCAGATGCTGGCGGCAGGTGAGTTTGATTCTTCCCTTTGATAATTAAACTGTGTAATCATATATAATGGCATTATCAAAACCTCAAAATGTCGACCTATCTTAAGTCAATCTTCCAAAACCACATGCTTAGAAATGGATTTTTTTTTCACCTTTACTTTCAAGCAATGTCAAATGGCTATCAGCATTTAAAATATTTTTTAAAAATTTACTATGAAAAAGAAGTATTTTATCTATTTTAGTTTGATCCTTTCTGAATCATACTGTAACTTTATAAATCTACTCCTGTGTTATACAAAGTGGGCTTTGTTGGAAGGAGGGGGAAATTCAACCATTATACCAAATGGAACAAAGGAAAATCAAAGAACCCGCCATATATTACATTCATTCATCCCACAAGTAATTATTAAGCAGTCACTGTTTAGCTCAGGGGTGTTTTAAGCCCTGGGGACACAGCAATAAACAAAA